CTAGCGTCTGCGCGATGCTCTAGCTGCTCCTGGATGATCGCCCAGGCGCTGTATGCATCCTGCGCATGCATGGAAGCGCAGAATTCATCAAAACCAGGTAAGGAGCGGGCGCACGGGTGCGCACGGGCGCGGGTGGGCCCTTCGCCGTTCCCGGAAGTTACTTACTTCCGGGTTCGGCGACCAACTGGTTCGCAGGGACCGCCGCGAACTGGTTGAAACCCACCCCTGGTTGGAAGTGTGAAAAACAGTCATAAGTCCCTTTTTCCAGTGCCGTTGTGACTTTAAACGGTCAATAAACAAACTGTTCTAAGTTAAGGACTATCTGTATTGGATCTTATCTGCATTGGGATTACTTCTTCCTCATTAAGAATGAAAAGAGAGTCTAGTTTTCAAGAAGTTGTGCAGATTGATGCTAAACGCAAGCGTCGTCTCGTCCCCTGGTGGCCTATTCCTATTGCCACTTTGAGCAACATACCTCTGTTTGAAATGAATTGTGCCAAATGTTTTGTTGATTCATGAGCCACATCAAAATTTGCACCTTTGAAGAAGGGCTATAAGAAAGTGCTTTCATAGAATTCTCTCACTGACCTGGATGAAATACTGGGGTCTTCATCAACCTCAGTTTCCTTACTTATATTCTTTCTTGAGATACTACAGGCTGTCCTACTTTTTTGCTCATCCCGTCAGTCAATCTTGTCTTGTGATCCCAAGTTGTTTTGTCTAAAGCTCTGATGGCGAACCTATGGCATGCGTGCCAGAAGTGGCACACAGAGCCATCTCTCCGGGCACGCGAGCCATCGCTTGTTGCTCGTCCAGGTTCCGGCACACCGGCCAGCTGGTATTCATGCAGAAGCGCCAGAAACCGGAAAAGCAGCTGTCCAATGTACATGCACATGTTGGGCTCCGGATTCCGGCGCATGCATGCACACTGGCCACCTGGTTTTCTGGTTTTTGGCATGCACACACGCACAAAGACCAGGTGGCCAGTGTGCACGCACGCACCAGAAACTGGAAGATCATCTTCCCATTGTGCCAGTGGTGGGTTGCAAGCTGTACGCCCTGGTACGAGTATACCGGAGCCTGCCCGGAGTACCAGATACCATTCCGGTACGGTGCTCTGGAAGGCCCACCCGCCCACCCATGCTCCTTACCTGTCTTTAAACTCTTTGGCGCTTACGCTCACGCACACGTACACAGCACGTACTGGAGCATTGGGGGAGGCTCGCGGAGGCGTCGCTGGATGGTAAGATGAATGCTCGTGCTGGGCGTGTGTGCGCACATGGTGCGCACGTTCATGTGGAGGATGCCGGGCCCCATGCAACCATACTGGTTGCAACGGGATCCGGAATCTACCACCACAGTGTGTGCTCCTCTTTCAGCACTTGGTGCCAAAAAGGTTTGCCAACACTGGTCTAAAGGCTCCAACCCTAATGAGGATGAACCACAATAGCTACCATTGTCAACTGCTTAATTTCATGGTCCATCAACATAATTAGATGTCCTGCATAAACTATCCACATTTTAAGGTTCTGTGCATCAGGGGTGGGTGCTATTTTTCAGGAAGCACGTCAGAAGCAAAATATGAGTAGTCCCAGGAGAAAAAAGTAGATATAGGCAGGATTATAGGTGCGCGAATTCAACTTTGAAAAAAATCTTTTGAGACTTTTAAAAAGTATTGGAAAATTCTTATCATGTACTTCGATCCCTTCATATAAGGATAGCAGTTGTGTCTCCCAATGTGGTGCCTGGGAGCTATATAATGTTATTAGCATTCACCAAACTCCCTACTCTAATTTTACACTCTAGATTCCATAAATGAAAAAAGAAAAATAATCTAGCATATTGCAAAGGTAAGAATCAAGTGGAAGCATAATTATATTTCCAACTATCCTGCTGAGCTCTGTAGCATCCATAAAAATGAAATGATAGGTAGTAAAATCCCTTATTTTGTTTGTCTTCTGATAGATTTATGGATGTTTTGCATTTGGCTGCACCCACAAGGGCTGAAGTTGGCCAAATGGGCCTCTTTGATTTTCATGCGGAGAAAACTTGGTTTATAAACAAGGGATAAATGGTGATATCTCCAGTGTAAGGGTTCATCTTCATCTCTCTTTGCTATTTTAGTTCTGTCTTTTCTCTGTGAATTTACTTCTTAAGAATCTAGCACACTCAAGGATGCCGTGGTGGAGTAATTAACATCGTTGGATCTGTTGTTTCTTTAGACAATGTTGCCTGATGTTTTCGGTGGTCCCTGGGGAGGAAGCCACTGTCGTGATTCTCCGGTGCAAACAATTCGAAAGTGCTCCTGTTCCTCAGGTTAGAAAGAAAAATCCTCTTGATTTTCACAGTTCCACATTTATGGCTCTTTGCACAGAGGTGGTATTTAGCAGTTTCTGACCAGTTCTGGAGAACCGGTAGCGGAAATTTTGAGTAGTGCAGAGAACTGGTAAATACCACCTCTGGCTGGCCCCGCCCCGTGCTTCCCAGCCTCCCAGCTGATCTTCTTTTGTTCCCCTGAACAGGAGAACTGAGCTGGAAAGCAGGTTAGTGGAATGGGGAGGGAATGGGGATTTTGCAGTATCCTTCCCCGCCACGCCCACCAAGCCACACCATGCCCACCAAGCCATGCCCACAGAACTGGTAGTAAAAAAATTTGAATCCCACCACTGCTCAGGCCAACTTGTTTTGCAAAGTCTTCAAATACCATATTTTTCGGACTATAAGACGCACCAGTGTATAAGACACCGAATACAGCCATTTTTGGCCTCCCAAAACCCCGCCCCTGCATCACAAA